GTGTGATTGTGAGAATACACTGAAAGTGGGGAGACAGTACAAGGCCGTTGTCACCAAAGATAAATCAAATGCTGCGATCTACCTCGAAAGCACTTGATCACAAGTCAAACCAGATTATTGTATCCCTTTAGCAAGCCAGGTTGTAGAATTGTAAAACTTACTTCAAAGAATTATAGCTTTTACAGCTTAGGAAGAGGTCAAGCAGCCCATGGTGTTAGCACTTCCACTGAAACTAACTAATCTAATACTGATTCCCTGCTTCCTGACCCTGTAAATGGTTATTAATGTATTGGAAGAAATTGAAAGGTGAATAACAATTTTGAGAATCAAATGATAAGCTGTGCTGTGCTACATACATGAGCATCTTCTCACTGGAGAAATGTAGATTGAGACATTTTTGAAATGCTGTAAGAATTGACTAAGTTGTATGGCACATAAATCTTTCGGATAAGATGTTAAACTAATGTCTGGAAAAAAAACGGTGAATAAATACAACAACAACAACAAGATTCCATTTATAAAGCGCCTTTCACGTCAGGAGGACGTCCCAAGGCGCTGCACAGTTGGGTCATGACCCGAGCAGGGGGGAAATGGTCAGGGTGAGGGGAGGGAAGGGAGGGAGCGAGGGGGGGGGGAATGGTCAGGGTGAGGGGAGGGAAGGGAGGGAGCGAGGAGGTGGGAAATGGTCAGGGTGAGGGGAGGGAGGGAGCGAGAAGGGGAAGAGAGTCGAGAGGGGAGCTGAAGGCTCGGTCAAAGAGAAAGGTTTTGAGACCGGCCTTGAAGGAGGAGAGGGAGGAAGCAAGGCGAAGGCACTGGGGGATAGAGTTCCAGAGCCTCGGGGCTGAGAGGCTGAAGGCCCGACCACCGATGGTAGGGCGGTTGGGGCGGGGGACGTGGAGCAGACCGGAGCCAGAGGAACGGAGGGTACGGGCAGGTAGGTAGGGGGATAGTAGGTCGGAGAGGTAGGAGGGAGCGAGGCCGTGAATGGCCTTGTAGGTGAGGATGAGGATCTTGAAATCAATCCTCTGGGGGATGGGGAGCCAGTGGAGGCGAGCGAGGGTGGGAGTGATGTGGTCCCGAAGCCTGGTGCGGGACAGTACACGAGCTGCAGAGTTCTGAATGACCTGCAGCTTGTGGAGGGAGGTGGCGGGAAGGCCGGCGAGGAGAGAGTTCCCATAGTCCAGCCTTGAGGTGACAAAGGCGTGAACCAGGGTTTCAGCAGCGTGAGGGGTGAGGTAATGCCGTAGTCTGGCGATGTTCCGGAGGTGATGGAAGGCGGTGCCAGTTGTGGTGCGGATGTGAGGGAGAAAGGACAGCTCAGGGTCGAACAAAACGCCGAGGTTCCTGACTGGCTTTGAGAGGTGGAGAGTGCAGCCTTGGATGCTGATGGTGTCGGCGCCTGAGGTGCGGAGGCGCTGACGTGAGCCAATCAGGAGGGCCTCGGTTTTTCGCACGTTGAGCTGAAGAAAGTTGTCTCTCGTCCAGGACTCGATGTCGGACAGGCAGCTGTCAGGACATCGGTGGTCGTGGAGTTGAGAGTAGAGGAGGAAAGGTAGAGTTGGGTATCATCCGCATACATGTGGAAGTTAACTCCATGTCTGCGGATGATGTCACCAAGGGGGAGCATATAGAGGGTGAAGAGGAGGGGACCGAGGACAGAGCCCTGAGGGACACCACATGAGACAGTACGGGGGGTGGAGGAGAAGCCATTCGTCGAGACAAAGTGAAGACGGTGAGAAAGGTACGACCTAAACCACTCAAGGACAGTGCCTTGAAGGTTGAGGTGGGAGGACAAGCGGTGGAGTAGGATAGCGTGGTCGACCGTATCGAATGCTGCCGATAGGTCGAGGAGGACGAGGAGGCAGAGGGAGCCCTGGTCACAGATGGTCAGGATATCATTGGTGACCTTGACCAGGGCAGTTTCTGTGCTATGGGCAGCACGGAAACCTGACTGAAGGGGTTCGAAAAGAGAATGGGTGGAAAGGAAAGAGCGCAGTTGGGAGGCGACAACTCTTTCCAGGACCTTGGAGAGAAAGGGGAGGTTGGAGATGGGCCGGTAGCTTGATAGCTGCGACGCATCAAGGGAGGGTTTTTTCAGGGTGGGCGTGATGGTGGCAGTTTTTAAGGGAATGGGGACAGAGCCAGAGGAGAGGGATAGGTTGATGATGTCGGTGATATGGGATAGGTTGATGATGTCGGTGATATGACTTCTCTTTTATTTAGTTATTATTTCTTGTTATGATATTCCTGACTCCTTCCGGATGGCTGACCAGCATTAAGGATTAAATATTCCAATGATTAAAGTGGCCAGCAAAAGTCTAGCAATGTTCATCAATATGTATGACAAATGTCAAACCCAAGACACAGGAGACAACCAAATAAAATATAGGAAGTGCAGAAAAGGTTTGAAAAAGGAAATAGAGGGGCAGAAAGATTATATGAAAAAAGGTTAGCGAGTAACATTAAAGGGAATTCTAAAATATTTTACAAACATATCAAGAAAAAAAGGTTAGTCAAAGGTAGGGTGTGGCCAATTAAGGACCAAGGGAGATATCTTATTGTGGAGGCAGAGACTGACGTACTGAATGAGTACTTCGCATCTGTCTTCACAAAAGAAGTGGATGCACCAAATGCCGCAGTATCGGAGGAGAGGGTAGAGGAAATGGATAGGATAAGTATAAACAGAGAGGAAGTACTGAAAAGGTTGACTGCGCTGAAGGTAGATAAGCTGCCCGGTCCGGACAGGATGCAACCAAGTTTACTATGGGAGGCACGGGTACAAATAGCGGAGGCTTTGGCTACAATTTTTCAATCTTCGTTGGACACAGGGGTGGTGCTAGAGGACTGGAGAGTGGCCAATATGACTCCCCTGTACAAAAAGGGACAGAAGGACAACCCTAGGAACTACAGGCCAGTCAGCCTAACATCAGTAGTGGGGAAACTCCTGGAGACTATAATCCGGGACAGAATAAATCTTCACTTAGAAGAATATGGGTTAATTAGGGACAGCCAGCACAGATTTGTTAAAAGCAAATCTTGTCTAACAAATCTAATAGAATTTTTCGATGAGGTAACGGAGAGGGTGGATAAAGGTAGTGCAGTTGATGTAGTATATATGGACTTTCAAAAGGCATTTGACAAAGTGCCAATTGAAAGACTTGTAAGAAAGATAGAAGCCCATGGTATCAAAGGGACAGTGGCAGCATGGATCCAGAACGGGCTGGGAGACAGAAAGCAGAGAGTTGTGGTGAACAATGGCTTTTCTGACTGGAGGGAAGTGTACAATGGCATACCCCAGGGATTGGTATTAGGAGCACTGCTCTTCTTAATATACATAAATGATCTGGACTTGGGTATAGCAAGTACCATTTCCAAGTTTGCGGATGACACAAAGTTAGGTAGGGTAGTAAACAGTGAGAAGGATAGTAGCCAACTGCAGGAAGACATAGACAGAATGGTAAAATGGGCAGACACATGGCAGATGAATTTCAATGTGGAGAAATACCCTCCGTTCCTCTGGCTCCGGTCTGCTCCACATCCCCCACCCCAACCGCCCTACCATCGGTGGCCGGGCCTTCAGCCTCTCAGCCCCGAGGCTCTGGAACTCTATTCCCCAGTGCCTTCGCCGCTTTCTCCTTTTCCTCCTTCAAGGCTGGTCTCAAGACCTTTCTCTTTGACCGTGCCTTCAGCTCCCCTCTCGACTCTCTACCCCTCCTCGCTCCCTCCCTTCCCTCCCCTCACCCTGACCATTTCCCCCCTGCTCGGGTCCTGACCCAACTGTCCAGCGCCTTGGGACGTCCTCCCGATGTGAAAGGCGCTCTATAAATGAAATCTTGTTGTTGGTGTTGTTGTTGTTACGAGGATGGTACCAGGAATGAGGGACCTTGATTATAAGGAAAGGCTAGTGAGGCTGGGATTATTCTCATTGGAGCAGAGAAGGTTACGAGGAGACCTAATAGAGGTCTTCAAAATCATGAGGGGATTTGATAGGCTAGAAAGGGAAAAACTGTTTCCACTGGTGGGTGTGTCGGTGACTTGAGGTCACAGATTCAAAATAGTCTCTAAAAGAAGCAGAGGGGCGGTGAGAAGAAACTTTTTCACGCAGCGAGCTGTTCAAATTTGGAATTCATTGCCTGAAAGGGTGGTCGAGACAGATTCGATAACTACTTTTAAAAACGCGATGGACAGGTATTTGAGGAGGACGGGTTTGCAGGGTTATGGGGAAACGGCTGGGGAGTGGGATTGACAATACATTGCTCTTTTCAAAGAGCCGGCACAGACTCTATGGGCCGAATGGCCTCTTTTTGTACTGTATGATTCTATGATTCTATGAATAAATTGATAGATATTTGCCATATTAAAAGTATTAGATACATCGCTTGGTTTCCTAGATGGCCATTCTCATGGTGTGAAATAAAACAAAGGAATGCCCTGCAAGTTACATCAATAAAATCCACTGTCACTGTGTCCAGTGTTGATTGAATATTTTGCCTGCTTCTTCCTTTATCTCAGGTTTGTGAGTTGGCTGGTAACCTTCTCTTGCAACAAACCTCAATTTGATTATCTTCTTGATGTTTACGCTATAGAAATCACATACCCAGAAAAAAAATCAAACCTATTGGGCCTTGTTATTGCTTCAGACCTTCTTTGGGATTTCATGTTCTATTTGTGTCTCCATGAATGTCAGAGTGTTGCCAATAAGAGAATGCAGCCATGGGGAAAATAAACCCGATGTCCAAACTGGTACTAATCTTTAGGATAATGCATCCAGAGACGTACATGCCAGTTGAAAATTGGAATGCTAACTGCAGCCAAGAGCATTTTGAGCAGCATCAGAACAAAGAGATAAACTGTTGTAGTTTGGGGCAATCATAATTTAAATGACCAGCAAAATATGGCTACACATCAAAAATTATTTGTACGTCACAGATGCCTATTGACTGCTTCTGCTTTCAAATGTGCTTGAATTTTCCCAGGACAATATAGACAGATGCTCGTACCTTTTCCATCTGTGAAATTGCGTGTACTCAGGATGTTGTTGAGCTCCTGCATGTGGTTTTGTTTAATGTACTGGCTCTTTTCCGGTGTATCTTGTAGCTGCATTGTAACCTCTTCAAGCTCTTTGTCAAGCTGTAAAGGGAGACATTACAGTCTGAATGAGTACAGCTTAATTTCAATTGCAGTAATCCTATGTGTTTGTGTGAGGAACCGATATGATCTAGTAAAGCAAAGAGAATTGCCAAGTGTCTGATGTCTTTAAGGAACACGACTGCAAATTATACCAGGTCCAAAACTTGGAATTTTTCTGTTCTTCAGAATGATTCAAAGATTCAGTGCTCTACTCTCATCATGTTTTGTGCTGCAGTTGAGCTAGATAATTGCATTGCCTGGTTGAGATTAAACATCCTGTTCATTGGACATCACCAGCAAACAAAGTGTACTAGGACTGATTTGAAATCACTGGCAATCAATCAGCAGGAAGGAAATAAACCTTGCCCTTGAAGCAAAGTCTCTCTTCACTTTCTTGCCATTAACATTCATCATGTTATTGTGGTTTCAGCCTGGCTCAGTAGGGAGCTGAGTCATAAGATGGTGGGTTCAAACCCCTTGATAGGACCTTGAATTCACAGTTCAGGCTGACACTCCAAAGCAGTGATGGAGGAGCACTGTATCGGTGGATAGATGCTAAACTGAGGTCTAGTCTTCCTGTACAGGCACTTCATTGCTGTTTGTGAGATAATGCTGTGCACAAATTGTCTGTGGCATTTGCCTACATATATGCAGTTACTACACTTTAGATAGCATCCTGTGACGTACTTTGCAATGTTTTGACAATGTGATAAGGAGCAAAATTAACTGTAAGCATTATTGTTATGTGTAGATTGTATGTTTAAAAATAAATTTTAATGCTGGGCATTCTTTTTCCAAATCTTGCTTATTGGTTGTGAAGACATTTTCTCTGACCTCCTCTTTCATTCTTCTTAATAATAATAATAATCCTTGCATTTGATGTCACGCCTTATCACATCTTCGAAACTTCTCAAAGCACTTCACAGAATATACTGTAAAGTGAACTGATTGTATATTTTGTGGCGAAATGCGGCAGCCAATTGCACATAGCAGTGTCCCACAAACAGTCATGGATTCAGTGACCAAATTATAATAAATAATAATAATCCTTGCATTTGATATAGCGCCTTATCATGTCGTGAAGACATCTCAAATCACTTCAAAGGATATACTGTAAAGTGGATTGACTGTGTATTTTTAAATTATTGTCAATGTCTAGTTAAAAAAAAGCCCCAGAAATTCAGCATTGATTTCCGATTGAGATCCTTCTTGCTGAAGTCCATAAACTCACAAACTGGAATTCTCCAGACCACAGCTGGTTTTAGTTCTAACAGTTTCTAATGAGAAAATGGGAGAAACAAAGAAAATAGTTAGCAAAAATGGTTGAACACAAAATAAATACCTCTGTGATCTTCATCCGCAGACGATGGTTATCGGTTTGAAGTCCCTCAAATCGAGATGTATTTGCCTGGTTCACACTTGTTACCGAGGTTGATGTCTTTGAATCTTCTTTTTTCTGATTCTGTGTGAATTGCAGTCTTCGGTTCTGAGTGGCTGCATCTGGGTTTGTTCTTAGTGTAATCAGCTGTTGAGGAAGGTTTGAAAGAGGACTGTTTTTTGCAAAGTACAAGCAATCTTTTTAGACTTGAGGCAGAGTGTGAACAGCCTACCTTTCTGACCCGACTCCTCTACCCATCCCTTTAAGTCAGCTAAACTGCTGAGCTAACACAGGCCTGCTGAGCAGCCCCCTTGCCCTCATGTCACCATCACTGGCTACAGCCACTACTCTGTTAATCTCAGGAAATCCCTGCCTCAGTCTCTCCACAATGACCCCCTTTTGTGCATCTTTAAATCACACCTGACGACCTATGTCTTCAACCCTGAATATGGTATCTTTCCACTCCCCTCTCCCTTGCTCAGTGTCCAACACCAGCAATGTACAGTGCTCTCAGAAGCTATCCTGCATGAAGGGTGCCATACAAATGTAAGTTGTTGTTGAAATGTCAGAGCTCATATTATTATGGTCACTGCTGCTCTTAATTTTCATTTATTTCTCCCAAGCTTAAATACAACATGCTACATTCTCTACTTCCTCCTTGCATCCTCACTGTGTTGGGAGTCAAAATTCCTTATACTGCCTCTGACTCTAATTCATTCTTTCTCGGGTCTTCAAGGCTATGAACTCCTTACCACTAGTAAATGTTTCATTATGTTTCATAATGGGATTTTCCCCGACAAACACGGAACAACAAGGTTCATTTGTTCTATTAATCATCATGTGATATACCCATCTGCCTGAAGGGTTGAACAAGTTGAACATTGAAATCTACTTTTGCAAATGCAAACAGCTGATGTGCCACCAAACAGTTATTTTAAAGAAGATAATTTGAGTGAGATGGACTCTGCAGTAGAACAGCCTGCAGATACGAGCTGCACAGAAAGTAATTTACAAATTAATTTCATTGATGTTATTAACCTAGGAAAATATATATGGGGGGGGGCTTGTCAAACTGCTTGACATAACCAGTGAATGATGTTCATTGAAATTGGAAAATATAGCCCAGAATGTTCCTTTAACTAATATACTTCTCTGATTAGGTAGGACTTCTCTTTATGAGGTTGAGATTGAGATGAACAGAAGCATTTTCTCTTACCTTTGGCACAAAGACCAGGCAGAGAGTGATGGTACTGCAGAAAATGATGACCAGAGCCACAATACAGAACTGGACATTCGGCTGGTCCCGTGTAAGGAAAGAAACTGCAGCTCCTATAATGCACATGATTCCCACATTATAAACACTCATCCCAATGTACTTGCTGTCATTCAGCGCAGGGATGCTGACATTCCGAGTCTCCCAAGCGAGGAAACATCCAAATAACTGAAAGAAACCACAAAACAGAAATTATTTAATTTTGTTCTTAAAATAAAGAACACATGCAGGTGGGAAAGGGGTAAGTGATATAACAGAATTTCTCCGTCTTGCATCAAAGCCTGTACGTTTATGGACCAGCAGAAAATACGACCAGAAAATAGCTCCAGAGAGTTTAAAATAGATGGTTCAGAACTTGGCATCAGATAATCTATGATGACACGCCGATGCAATGTTAGGAGTGTGCTGCACTGTTGGATGTGCTATCCTTCAGATGGCATGTTAAACCAATATCTTGTCTGCCTATTCAGGTGGACTTTAATGATTCCTTGCCACTATTTAAAAACAGAAAGCAGTTTCTCCTGGTGACCTGACCAACTATTCCCCAGATAAAATTGGTCATTCACTTGATGGCTATTTGTTGGACATTGCTATATGCAAATTAGCTACCACATTTGACTTCTCAGACACTCCACTGACACTCAAACTTCTAAGCCGTTACACTGTGTGAAGAGCACTATATAATCTCTTCAGAATATGTTGCTATATTCTATGAAGCGCTTTGTCATATTCTCCTGATGTGAAAGGTTCTATATTAAATGTAAGGATCATTATTATTATTACATAGCAAATTTGCTGCCATGTGCTCTGACCTGGTTGCAACTTTACTATAATTTTCCAATTAAAATGTTCCAGACAAGTCACCAGACAAATTCTCTTGACAGTCGAGAAGATCGAGTTACATTTACACTAGTTGATGTGCTAGAAATTGGAGCCCTGAAGCCATCGCTTATAAGTTTATACACAACTATTTTTGTTTTATTCAGGAGCCTTGACTCAATTTTTCCATTAGAATATTAAACTGAAGGTATTACAGACACGTCATAGATAGATCAACTATTTTGAGAGCAAAGGGTCAACACTTTCAGTTTCTGTCAGAGGTGCTACTTTTAGAAGATAATAGACCACTTCTACTTGTTCTTCAGATGGATGTTAACAATTCCATGATAATATTAAAAACGATAAAAGTCTCCCAGTGTCTGGCCAACAATCCTTCAGATTAATTGGCCATCTATCTTATGGCTGTTTGCGGGACATTTCTGGTGAAAATAGCTGCCTTATGGTCATTATAGTTGATGGTAATAACTTGCTTTGTGGTGTTTCAACCGGATAAAGTAATGTAAATTCTTTCATTCTGTTCAGGGATGTATCGAGTAAGGATACAGGAAGAACAGAGGCTCATCATTCAACAAAATTCCAGGATGGAGACACGAACACTTCACAAAGTAAACCTGTTAAGACACACCAGGCAAGAGTGGGCAAACATATCAGCACAGTATGATCCGATACACGAATGACCCAACCACATAGCACTGAACAGCAGGCAACTGAGAAACCAGGTTAAACAAACTGTCTGTTTGGGAGGGCGAGCTGTGAGGATTAGAATACTTGGTAAAATATCAAGATGTCACATTAAATCTGTTCTGGACATCACCAGGCCTTGTTCCCTACAGCAAAGCCAGAAATCCCTGGTCAAGGTGAACAGTTAAATGCAACTACTGTTTTTTAGTATTTCTGGGACAATCACAGATATAAACAACAACAATGTGCATTTATATAGCGTCCCTCACACTGAAGCTCAGGGTTGTGCTTGCGGACAGATCAGAGATGTTCAGCAAATCGGTCACCCAATCTGCATTTCGTCTCCCCAATGTAAAGGAGACCACATCGTGAGCATCTCACTTTGACCTCTCCATCCATGGTCTCCTACGCTGTTCCAATGAACCACAGCGCAAGCTCGAGAAGGAGCACCTCATCTACCTGCTAGGGACCTTACAGCCCTCTGGCCTCCATACTGATTTCAACAATTTCAGACCATAACAGCTCACCTTCTCCCTCCCCCTCTTCTGTGACCAGTACCACATCATCTGGGTCCCAGACATACCTTTTCTCTCTCTGGTCTGCCTATTTTGTTGTAATTTCCCCCCACCCCTTTGTTATGCATTATTAACACCAATGCTGTTGTCACGACTATAATGACATTTAATGTAGTGAAATGTGGAGTAAGGAGTAAGTAAGTAAGGAAACTTGCCCTGCTGTTTCGCCCTGCCGGGAATAGAACCCAGGTCTCTCGCTTGCGAGGCGAGTGTTCTAGCCACTGAGCTACAGGACTCTATAATAATATAATAATAATGGTGATAATCATGATAATAATACTTACATCTAATACAGTGCCTTCCGTGTTTGGAAGATGTGCCAAAGTGCTTCACAGGATACATTGTAAAGTGTAACGACTGTGTGTTTTGTGGGAAAAAGCAGCAGCTAATTTGTGCCTCACAAACCAGCCATGAAGTCAATTTTATTTGGGGGATTATTGGGATCGTTGGCAGGATGCCAGGAGAAACTTTCTTTTTTTGAATCGTGCCAAACGTTTTTTAACATCTACCTGGACAGGCACACTCAAGGCTTTGGTTTAATGTCTCATCCAAAGAACAGCACCTCAAACAATGCAGCACACCCCCAGCACTGCAGTGTCAGTTGAGACTATAAAAAATCCAAATCCTGGCATGCTACCAAATGAGCCAGGCTGACAGACATCTGTACTGGGACTCCCCCTATTTCTTGAATATATTGATGACCTGGATTTGCAGATTCAATGAAAGGTAGTTACATTTGCAGATGGCACAAAGTTGGAGAGAACCGTGGAATCGATGGAGACAGCAAAGGTCCAACAGGGAGTTTATAATATATAACAATCCTTGCATTTGATATAGCACCTTATCACGTCTTCAAGACATCTCAAAGCGCTTCATAGGATATACTATAAAGTGAATTGACTACATATTTTGTGGGAACTTGATAGGGTATGCACATGGGCTGGGAAATGAAGTTTAATACTGTTAAATGCAAGGTAGTACATGTAGGGTGCAACATGGATGATATAGAAGTTGCCAAGGGTAAGCTGAAAGTGATCCAGTTGACTCATCACTTACCATGTTAAAATAGTGTGAGGCAACAATAAACCATGCAAACAGGATGCTGGGCTTGATGCTAAATCAGTTGAATTTAGATTCCCAAATATCATATTATGTTTAGATGCCCAGACAAGCCATAGAGTGCCCTGGTCATGCCTCAGCTAGAGCACTGCATGCTGTTCTGGTCATTTCAACATAAGGGAGCTGCCCAGGCTCTGGAGGCAGTGCAGAGGAGAGCAATGAGGTAGAGGAATGAGGAATGAGTTATGTGCAATGGTTAGACATGCTAAGCCTCTTCAGGCTTGAGAGAAGGTGATTCAGAAGGGACTTCATAGAGGAGTATAAAATTGTAAATTGAAAAAGTAAACTTAGAACAAAACTTTGGGATGCGCCAAGGCCATAGAACAAGAGGACAGAGGTTTGTACTTGCAAAGGACAATTTTATGACAGGTTTTTCTTTACTCAGAGGGCTGATTATGACTGCAACTGGTTACCAGGAAGGATGGTTAAAGCCAGGACATCAAATTCATTTAAAAAGCAACTTGATGCAATGATGGGAGGATGGGAGGGATGGTATTCTGGAAGGATGAGATCAGATAGGCTTAAAGGTTCACTTCATCCAAACCAATCTTGTGATCTTGTGAGTCTTTTAAGTAATATGTAAGACGATGGCCCCCTCACTCCCCAACTTCAAATCCTGCCTAAACACCTTCCTTTTTGATCATGCTTATGGTCACCTCCCTCCTCTCTCTCCTCCTGGCTCGTTGTCAGACTCTGCCACTGTCAAGCGTTCCAGGACACTACCCCGTGTGAAGGGCACTATATAAATGCAAGTTGTTGTTGTTGGTATGCTATGGATGAGGGACTTTTTTAGGCTATTGTTTTACTTGATTTGAGGGACCATCTTTATCAGTTTCAACATCAAAAATATGATCATATATTCGTGTATACTCACAAACACATATAAAATAAGTGTTTGTGGAGAATGAATTTCCTCCCTTCAGTCTTGAAAAGAGATATCGCAGAGGTAATTTTACAAATATGCAAGAAGCCAAATGGGACAGTGAACGTAAATCCACAAGAATACTTTCAGACACTCCAGGTTACAGATCCAGGGTTGTTCAAGAGCAATTTTAGGGCAGACACCAGAAAGTATTTTTCCTTACAGTGTGATAATTAACAGCTGGAACAAAGTAGCATGAAGGATGTTAAAGACACTGCACATATTTCACAAATAGCATGATTTTGTAATGAGAAGAAGGTAGCGTGCATTCTGGATGGATGTGATCAAATAGTTGAAGGTTTTTCTTCATCAGAATTTCTCTTGTGATTTTGTGCAGTAATCTTGAGAAACCAATGATGATTATAGATGGGTCCTTTCACTTAACATATCTTGTCAGTAGGTATCTTCCATCAACAAATATCAGGCATATGATCCAAGCAAGTGGGGAGAGACAGAGCGGTCATGCAATTAGATGGCCATTTCCCTTTTGGGCTGAATTTTCTTCCCAAAGTTTGGATGCAGATAATTTCAGGAGAATCAACTTCCAAAATCTTTCAATTAAACTGTGTAGTCTGGTAGCGTAGTGGTTAGAGCACTTGTTTCGCAAGTGAGAGGACTCTGATTCGATTCCCAGGTGGGGCGAAACCTTAGGCAAGTTTTCTTACTCCACCCGCCTCTGGTGACCTAGCAGTAAGTAGTTGTTAGTCAATTGGCAGATAGCTTTCTGGGGGTAATAACACCTTAAAAAAAATTGGTCATTCAATCCACAACTATTTGTGAGACACTGCCGTGTTTCGCCCACAAAATATACAGTCAATCTACTTTACACTATATTCTGCGCAGCGCTTTGAGACGTCTCAATGACACGATAAGGTGCTATATCAAATGTAAGGATTATAAGGATTATTATTAAAATAGCAAAACAACTGCTCTTGCAGCTCATCCCTGCTGTACCTTTCATCAAATAAAGGTAACACACAGCCATTCCTTTACACTAAAGAAGGGTTAGGTAGAGGATACTTGGGAATTGACCAACTCTCAAATGCTCAGGTGAGTCACTTGATATCATATAGCTGTGAGAGACCTGATGATATCTCAGTTCTTCATAACTCCAGACACGAGCAGCTTCAACATCATGTTGTATGAGATGGTAATTTCACTTGCACCACTTCAGGTTGTTTGATAACCTCTGTTACTCTGTGTAATTCAACTTTGTGTCACAATATCAGAAGAAATGAGAAATAATCGATGCGATTCATCCAAAAACATTTTTTAAAACATAACGCACAATTCTTACCATAAGAAGGCCTTTGTAGGCATAGACGATGCCTAGCCAAATGGACATGTTGGTATTCTCACAGTGTTCCAGGAATGGACGGATTGCAAAATCTCTGTCACCGGGGTCTGGCTGTGAAAACAGAAAAGCTCAGTTAGCGTCAAGTGACTTCATATCAGGTATCAGCCTGGCTCAGTAGGTAGCACTCTCACCTCTGAGTCAGAAGATTGCAGGTTCAAGCCCCATATCGGGACTTTGAACACACAAGCAGGCACTCTAATACAGTGCTGTAGGAGTGCTGCATTGTTGGAGGTGCCATCTTTCAGATGAGATGTTAAACCGAGGTCCCATCTTCCTGTTCAGGTGAACATTAAGATTTCATGGCACTGTTGTAAATGAGAAGGGAGTTTCTCCTGATGTCCTAGCCAACAATCCCCCAAATAAAATTGGTCACTCACTTCATGGCTATTTGTGAGACATTGCTATGTGCAAATTAGCTGCTGTGTTTCCTTTGATAATTGTCAGTACACACTGCAGTAAATCTTGTGAAGCACTTTCTTGAGAAGTCCTCCTGACATGGAAAATGACTATGCAAAATGCAAGGATTATTATTATAGTTATTAAAAGCTTCACAATGTTGAGCAGTAGTGGAGAGGTTGAGGTGGCTGCAAGTTTAGCTGTGTAGAGAGGAAGGTGATCACATTATGAATGGTACTGATAGTTTGCTAAACATGAAGGTGATCCTTCATTTTGATGAATGTGAAGGTACAATGGCTGTGGATAGCTCACAGGATAAGCAGTTTCATCTCTCAGGCACAACCATCAGACCTGGAATTGGCCACATGCAGCAACAATTACAGAAATTCAAGAAGGGACAGTGGACAAAACTTGAATTTTAATTTATTTATAAGTTCTATCCTTTAACAGTTAATGCACATAAACCACAAGGCTGTAGTTTCTATTGACACAATGATGTTTTAAGGATTCCCCTTGTGTTCCCTAACTGCGTGACTAACCTATAATGAATACTGGATAGAATATTGGATAGGAATACTGGATAGGAAAATTTCACCCACAAAATATACAGTCAATCCACTTTGCAGTATATTCTGTGAAGCGCTTTGAGACGTCTCAACAATGTGATAATGCATTGTATTAAATACAAGAATTATTATTATTATGATATAGGAAAATACTGGATAGGATTGTATTCTTGAATAGGAATAGATAATATAGAATTCCCTGTTATGGAAAGAGGTGTCTTGCTTTTTTCAGGGAGCTCAGTAAGATTGCTGAGTTGGTTCCATTCTTTCAGTTCCGCAGCTTTTAGACTAAAAGATTTGGCTTCTCAGTAGTGCAGATTTGCAGTGTATGTATTCGAAAAGTACTATACCCTCTTCTGCACACAGTGTGGTCTAATGTACAGCCATTTCTCATCAGATTCCTTGATAAGGAATTTTTTAATAAGGAATCCGTGGAAGGACCCCTCCCAGAAGCCAGAATACTTGTAGCAATTCCACTCTGAAAGTAGGTTGTGACAGAGTGGAGCTCCCCTGAGTCGATGTGACACGATTTGAGTTGCAATGGAAATCACCATTTATCAGACCTGCCCATGACATGATTTAAGAACACCATTATTAACCCTAGAGTTGTGCTGGTGGGTATTAAAAGAATCCATTTATAAAAATAAACTGGAGCAACCCACTTCAGTGCCAGTTTATACCAGACCTTTGAGGCTATTGCCAAGGACGATGGTTTTGCTAACCTTTCCTCTTGTCTCTTACTATCCACCAGTGGTGATGATGATGCCTGTTAGGAGAGCAGGACTAGATTCTGTCACTCCACTCAGGTTGTTCTTTGTGAAAATTTTGAGAGCAAAACAGCAGGGGAGATTAGTCATACGATTTCTGATCCTGCTTGTAATCTCATGTAGATTGCTGCACCCAGGGGTTTGCAGATACGATGGATTAAGGATCGGGTTCATCCACAAACACAGGACACCAGTGAACCCATGAAGACTACAACAGCAGTTAAAGAAAATGCAATACCTTCACTGTTGTCTTCAGTGGCATCTGCAAATCCAGGTCAAAACAAAAACAGAGCAGAACAGAAGAAAGTAGAAAAAAAACTGAACTGAACAAAAATTAAGCAAAACAGAAATAAGTCAGAACCGAACCCAAATCAGCCAATAACATCAATGAACAAAACAGACCAGAAATAAAACTGGACCACGGCAGAACGCCTTCTTTAACAATGAGAATTCTGTTCATGATTTAATGCCCATTTGACTCTCATTTTAAAGAGTTCTCACAACCACACAACTGATTCTGGATCAAGGGACTAAGTTCCAGCACTGGGATCAATTCTGCGAAGCCACTCTGTGATGGGTCAATGGATAAGAAGATGGAAATTCCTGCATCACGTAATGTTGTGTGAGTGACTGAATTTAATAACCTATCCGAGAACTGACACAAATGCCCAACTTAGGGTTTAGGATTCAATAAAAACAACAATTTGCATTTGTATAGCGCTCTTCATGCAGGGTAGAGCTTGGGGCACTTAACGATGGATAGTTTGATGCTGAGCTAGTGAGAAAGAATAGTGGAAAGTCTTCAGTGTGATCTGAATATGGACAAAGAAGCGACAGGACAGAGGAATTGAGGCATGGAGTTCCAGTGATCGGGGCGTGAAAAGGTCGGGTTGCGGAGTGGTGTCTGAACAGGTCAGAGAGATAGGAAGGCGCCAGAGCATGGAGCGATTTGTAGGTGAGTGTGAGGATCTTGAAATTGATCTATTCTGTCAGAGGGATCTAGTGGAGCATGACAAGCACCGGGGTGATGGGAGTGAGGAGATTGGTGAAGGTGAGGATACAAGCAGTGACGTTTTGAATTAGTTGGACTTTGTGAATGGTGGTGGACTAAGGGGCAGCTGATTACTTTTTAACACAAGCGTTGGGTTTTTAACCATATCCCTTCAAGCCTTTGTCTTTCAAAAAGCTTTTGTCAGCCAGCCCGCCGCAGTGGTAGCACTCTTGCTTCTGAGTCAAAAGGTTGTGGGTTCAAGCCCCATGTCAAGACTTGGAATCACAAAGTCCAAGCTGACACTCCAATGCAGTGCTGGGGGTGGGAAGGATATTGCATTGTTGGAGGTGCCGTCCTTCAGATGAGATGTTAAACCGAGGTGCCGTCTGCCCATTCAGGCGGATGTTAAAGATCCCATGGCACTATTTGAAACGAGAAGAGAGTTCCTCCCAGTGTACAGACAAATAATCCCCCAAATAAAATTGATCACTCACTCCATGGCTGTCTGTGAAACATTGCTGTATGCAAACTGGCTGCTGCATTTCACCCGCAAAACACACAGCGCCATATCAAATGTAAGGATTATTGTTGTTATTTCCTTCTTGAAACCTACAATGGACACTTGCCTCTAATATCTTACTTGGCAGAGCATTCCACGTCCCTATAACACTCAGTGTGAAAAGATTCTCCTAAGCTCATCATATCCCTTGATACTTCTATTACCCACATATCTGTCCATCTCTCTTTTAAACAATTAACAGTCAGTTGTTTGATGATTACCGCTCTGATCTTTCTCTTTCTCCAATGCTTTACTTTCAGCCAATCAAACAAATGAGAGTTGGTAGCAATTCAAATGAGACCAGTTCTTAAAATAATGAGCCCCAGAGAAAAGACATGGTGAATCATCCAGTGTCCTTTTGAAGAAATCAAATACTAAAATATGATCATAATTTATTCAGGGGCTATTGATGTGGCTATTCACCTAAGAAGCCCTACTTTACATTAAAAAGGGGATAAGAGGTTTGTGAGGAGGAAGTGGTTTTGTACAGAAATAGATAGAGGAAGGACTGAAGAATGGAATGGGAGTAAGATTTTAATTTGCATTGGGAAGTGAGGAAAACTATTCAACTCATACATAATAAAGTCATGAGTCAGTCTCATATGTAGAGGCGAAATCATAGAAAATCTCAGTGGTACCCATTCTAACACAGTGTTCAGGATCCATAAATGCAATACAACTTACACTTACATAGCATCTTTCACTTTGAGAGGATGTCCCAAAACCCTTGACAATTCTGGTTGGGCAGCAGAGCTCAGGATGGGAGCTGAGTGGGGTGAGGAAGGGGAAACAATGATCGAAAGAGGTCAAAGAGGTACGTTTAGAGGTGTATAACATTCATACACTGAGCCACCATATAATGGGTTTGACTGTGTCCAGCCAATTCACTGCCTATGTGCTACCTGGTTCCCATGCTAAAAGTAAAATAGCTTGTTTATTTTGTGTGCACAAAAAAGGAAGTGATATTAGTGGCCTAATGACCTGGAAGTCAACCAGTTTAGTGTGAAAAGTCAGCCAGTGTTCATTTAAAATGAATGGGCTCCATAGTGCAACCGTGTTATAATTAAATTCAGGATTAAATGCGTCACATTATAACAGGACTGTACTGTATTTTGAAAAAGAATTCCAGGTCCCAGATTGTCCAGGTTTTGTAAATGATCAGTACAAACTGCATACAGAATGCCTTGCGGTGGTTGAGGCAAAATCTATATTGGCTTTCAAGAGAGAACTAAACAGACACCTTAAAAATAGTCAGCTACAGCAGTATGGGGAAAGGGCAGGTAAATGGAACTGAAAGGATTGCTCTTGAGAGAACCGGCACAGACATGATGGATTGAATGTTCTTCTTCTGTGCTGTAAATTTATATTGTTCTATGGTTCTTCAGGATTACACACTTGTAACTGATCCCTGTCAGGCAGCTCAGCATCTCAATTCCATACCCACTCCTACAGTCAAACTGGCAGCTGGCAGTGAGGATAGTATTAAACAGGACCTGTGTGAGAACGAGAGTGCCTTGAATATTTTTAGCTGGAGAGTATTTCCATTGAAAGTTCTCCTCTAGCTACTCCTCTGAATGAGAACCATTGTAAATGGCTTCTAATCTGTGATATTTGCTGTGGGAAGCGGAAAAAAGACTGGTGAACAACAGCCATCTCCCACGACCATGTCCCCACGGAACTGTTTGTATTTTAGTACCTTCTGGAAATCACTGATCCCCACCGGGCCACCTGCCCATTCATGCCAACCAAGATGGCTCAAACAAGTGCTTCTC